AGTAAAATATATATATAAATAAATATACACACATACACTATTATATATTATATATTATATTATATATGTGTGTGTGAGGCTTCTGATTCAACGTAGCTGCAGGGCTGATGAACCAGGACTGGCAGGTCAGATGGTTGATGGCAGGCAGGTCTAGACAGCAGATAAGAAGGCAAGCTGCTGATAACTTCCAAGATCGCCAGGTAATAGAACAGGTCACTGGCTCAGGTCCAAAGAACCAGAGGTTGGGGGATGACCCAAGATCCAGACCCAGTAGAGAGCAAGCAAACCTTGTCTGAATCAATGTCCAATATATTGGAAGCAAGCCACACTCCTGAGAAAGCTTCCCTAAGATTGATTGACTGCTCATAGCAGGCATCATCATAAAGTTGTTAGATTATTTTAATTAAATCTCATCATGAGGAATAACTGTTTCAGTTGCCAAACCACTGAGAATCCTGGTTCAGTCAAATTGACACAAAACAACCGAGTCTCCCTCCAAGCCTGATGCTATGCTGTTCATATAGTCTAGCTTCTCACAGTATTTGTGTAGCATAGATTGAATAAATACAAGGGGTCTTCAAAAGGTGGGGAAAATTCCATTCTCTTTCAATTCCATTTTCCACAAACTTGTTGAGGCCCCTCAACAAGGTGAAAGGATACAACCCAGACATACCTTACCTGATTTTAAACCAGGCAGTATCTTCTTGTTTTGTTCCAATGACCATCTCTTGGTCCAAATGAGCACAATTACGTGTACTAGAATTTCCATTTGCAGTATTACCCATAATTTGTTATAATCCACAGAGTCCAATGAATGTCTTTGCATAGACAATAAAACACAAGTAAACATCTTATGGTATTCTTTGTTTTTAGCCAAGATCTATCTCACTTACATATACCGCTCACATTTCAATGTAAATTTAAATGTTTATATTTAATTTGAACATACACCGTTTATTTTCAGCAGAAACAGTATCTTAAATCAAAATTAAGGAAGCAGACTTAGGAAGGGTATCAATGAAAGTGTATTAACATTTGATCAATATTATTTATTATAGCGTCAAAAGACAAAAACACAGAATACTGACCTTTAAAATTTACTTGAGTTCTCAGTGAAAAGCTAGCAGTATTTTGTTTTCTTTAAAATTATTTATTTCTAAGGCGGTGGTGGTGGTTATGTGCCATGGAGTCAGTTCTGACCCATAGTGACCCTGTACAGAGTTTCCGAGGCTGTATATCTTTGGTGGTGGTGGTATGCCATGGAGTTGGTTCCGACTTATGGTGACCCTACATAGGGTTTCCAAGACTGTAAATCTTTACGGGAGCAGAAAGCCTCATCTTTCTCCCATTGGAGTGGCTGGTGATTTTGAATTGCTGACCTTGAGATTAGCAGCCTGACTAGGAACCACTACATTACTAGAGCCCCTATTTATTACTATAGCAAATCACAAGCAGCCCTGGTAGCATAGTTTGAATTCTACTTAAGATTGTATATATTTTCTATTCTCTGAGTAACTGGTTGATGTAATTTAGAAAAGTGTATTGTATTATAATGTCTAGCTTTAAATGCTTATTTTTTTAAGTATGCAATAGTAAAATACGAATGTGAATTTGTACCTGATACATTATATATTTGTCTCAACAATCTTAGGTGCTGTCCATAACAGGGAAAGTAATTAATATCATGGGATCTCTCTGTTATCAACTCTGATGACTTAATTTAAACAAAATGTTTGTATACTTGGGTGCTTATTTGCTCTTAAGCTTCAGCAATATTTTCTTTTTCAGATTGGCAGACACATTTAAAAAAACAGATGATCTTGACAGTCTTATTAATGAAATATTTGAAGAGCCTAATTTTGACAAAAAAACTTTTGTAAGTCAAGTATTTTAAATGTGTAGTAATTCTTGCATTATTTCAAGATGTGTTTAGAATAGTCTGAAAACTTGAAGAAGACACAAGTAGCTCTCTATAGCGCTCTGAATTCTGAGAAATATAATTGAAGAAATGGTCCTACTTAGAGTGGTAGAAAAAAATAAAATATTAGAATTCTAGGTGTTTTTCTATTCATTTCTCAGCCAGAATGAGAATTAGAAAAGCTATCAGAGCAAAAGTCAGCTCACAGATGAAGTTGCTCATTTGTATTTAGAATACTTTTCTAAAATGTTAAAAACAAACAACTTTCATCATAGGAATGTGCTTAGTACCATGTGGCTGTTATCCCATGAACCAATGATAAAATCATCGATACATTAATCTTTTAAATATTTGTGCATCTCAATGTCATGAAGAGTTCAGAAAATAATATAATAATCATTTATGTATTTACAGCCATTACTTTTCTGTGTTGAGTGAGGGATAAAAAGATTCCTGTCTGGCTGGTCCCTGTCTGCATTGTCCCTGTTGTTTTTAGTTCTATTGAGTTGATTCCTCAGAAGCTCCTCTTGCTTCTTAGACCCTCACAGGAAAGCCCCCAGAACCAACACCAAATGCCACAGTATGCCAGCTTAGAATTATAGTCATGAGCCTGGAGGTAAGGAAGACTATAGTACTTACAACATGCCCACCATGTTGTAAGAAAGAGACTCATGCACATTATTTCTCAGACATGCACCAAAAGTTTTCCAGTTCTGTTTAACATGAAATAAAATAGTGAAAAGAAATCATAAAATGAAATATTTTTGCTGTCATTAAATTTTCTAACCCGCTAGGTAAAATAAAGGCATGTTCCTGCATAGTTTAATTTGCCTTTCCTCCCGCTCACTTCCTCTTCTTGGCGGTGGTCCTAGTCTGTGGTTGGTTTATATTGTTTGGTACCTTATACTGGTTAACACTTAATAAATGCTTGCTAATGATGATGATGTTATACAACCATATTGGAACTACTGTATGGTTGTGACTAAGTAGCTCTACATTTTTCTTGAATGTCTATTGGCTGATACCATTCCATTTGATCAAAATTAATATTCTTGAAGTTGCCCAGGATTTTGGTTAGTTTATTTTTAGTTCAGATGAGTACCATTCACAGCCTTTAAAAATGAGGCTGATTTTTTTTTCCTGCTCCTCAATTGAATTTTTCCAGGATGAAGTTTCAAATAGCAGGTCCTTCATATTAAATCACTGAACTCTGGTATTAACTGAAGGGTTATAAAAGGACTTTAAATCTTAGCATGCTAATAATAGCAGTATATCAATTTTCTAGACTAAAAAGTTAGCAGAATAATTTGCAAATTCCTCAGGGAATTCTACTTCCCTTTTGCCTTTAAAAGGTTTTGATCATTGTTTTTATTTCAGAAACTTAATGATGCCACCAAGAGTTTTATTTAAGCCTTTTTAAAAGTATTGTTCTTATTATAAAATAACGAATATTAGCTTTTGTGTTACAGTTCTCTGAAGTTATCTTTGGCCTTTTCTTGTTGTGCTTTTTTAACAGAAATTAAAATCTAAATCTTCAGGTTACACATCTGACAGAGCTCCTATTCAGGGCCTTGGTAAAAGGTAAGTTAAGATGGCTTTGGTGAATTATACACATGAGTGAGCTAACACTTTGAGCATAGTCTAGTAGATTTTGTTACCATTTCAACAACAGTGACATTGAACAACACAACGTTGGTTGGCTTTTCAGAGAAAGGGCACAGCAGTACCTTCAGTACGCCTGATGTTTTGTGACCCCTTAGTGTAAAAAGCACGTGAATGGGAGATTATTGCTATTGTAAATAACTTTCTGCCATGTAGGGGAAAAGAAAAGTGTGAACTGTTTCTCAGAATTAATGTTCTGTTACAGTCTTCAGTATTTACTTTGTCCCTTACATTATTTGGCAAACGCATTTCTCTGTGACACATTTTAACTCCTAGAGTGTTCTTGAGTGTACACGTTATGTCTAATAAAGCAGTGATCCTGGGATAAATACATCTTCTTTGAAACAGTTGGCTTACTATGGAAAATATACAACTTGATTATAAGAATATAGAGTCAGCGAGGCTAAGTTAACGTCTATTTCTTTTTTGTAATTTTACTCCTGTCCCATCTGTTGAACACATCTAGTTGCAGTCCAGTATTCCTGGGTGGAAGTACTGCTCCACATGGTATTGGAACAAATACCTCACAGAGGTAGGATATCAGAAATCTATTATACTTTCATATTGGATTTTTCAATATGAAATTGAAAAATCAATATAAATTGATTCCCTGTTATTAAAATGTTGTTCTTATCATTTTGGCATAAATCTGTTTCATAATGAGAGACTTATTTTATTAGTGAATCTAATAAAATGTTTATTAGTCTTGTTGTTATTATGTGCCGTGGTATCAGTTCTGATTCATAGTGACCCTGTATAGGGTTTCCAAGGAGCTAATGGTGGGTTTGAACCATGGACCTTTTGGTGAGCAGTCCAGTGTTTATCCTACAGCACCACACCAGGACTTCTTATTAGACTTCTTGTTTTTAAATGCTGTCGAGTCAGTGTCAACTCATAGCAACCCTGTATCGGGTTTCTAAGGAGCAGCTGGTGGATTTGAACTACCAACTTTGCAATTAGCAGTCCAGTGCTTATTCTACAGCACCACACCAGAACTCTCTACTATTGTCGTTATTTTAAGTGTTGTTGAGTCGATTCCCACTCATAGTGACCCTGCATGGGTGGGTGGGTAGGTTATATGCTGTGGAGTCAGTTCCAATTCATAACAACTCAGTATAGGATTTCCGAGGCTATAAATCATTATGGGAACAGAAAGCCTTATCTTTCTCCCACAGAACTACTGGCAGTTTCAAACTGCTGCCTGTGAGATTAGCAGCCCGAATCATAACCACTATGTTACAGGGGTTCTGTTTAGAGGTATGATGTTAGATTTGCATTGTTGGTTGTGTTGAGGCCTTTTCAAGCTCCCCTCCAGGACTCCAATCTCAGGGCTGCTTATCCAGCTCACCAACAGAGTCCACTTCCACCTTTCCATTTCTCCTTCCAGGCAGTGAAGCCAGTGGGTCAGCAGGTGAAGCAGTGTGGTTATGTAGCTGTAGGATTTGTTATCCACACCGTTGGCCAAACAGCATGGCAAGCTGCAGGTTTGTGGACCCCAGAAAGTTCTCAAACATAGACACTTAGTTTTATCTGTTTACATAGGTCAAAACCAGAACTCCTGCTTTCTTTTCTTCTCCCCTTCCTCCACCCATGTTCCTACTCAGAACCTCTGTCAAGCCATCCTTATGGTTTTGATGACACCCATCACAAACCCATGTTAGCCCCACATTCCTAGCACATATCAGAATACAGGTTGAATACAAGATTGGTTTGAAGCAAATCTTGCTACTGTCCTACATTTTTGGGTCCTATTTTTGGCCTATATTTGGGTTACTTTTTTATATTTTTGTGTAGTTAGTTTTAAAGCAGTGTTGTTTATCTTCTTATGGAAGAAATGACTGAAAATTATGATGCTATGTTGATGGCATTTCTGGACAGATAATACTGTGTGATAGATGTTGTTGTTGTTGTTATTAAGTGCTATCAAGTTGGTACCTACTCATAGCAACGCTATGCACAACAGAACGAAGCACTGCCCAGTCCTGGGCCAACTCACAATTGTTGCCACACTTGAGGCCCTTGATGCTGCCATATTGCCAATCCATCTCGCTGGGGTCTTCGTTTTCTCTGTCCCTCCACTTTATCAAACATGATATCCTTCTCTAGCAACTGGTCCCTCCTGACAATATGTCCAAATATGAGAGACGATGTCTGGCCATCCTGGCCTCCAAGGAGCACTCTGGCTGCACTTCTTCCAACATGGATTTGTTGGTTCTTTTGGCAGCCCTTGGGTCTTTCAATAATCTCCTCCAACACCTAACTCAAATGCATCAGTTCTTCTATGGTCTTCCTTATTCACTGTCCAGCTTTCACATGCATATGAGGTTATTAATAATACTATGGCTTGGGTCACATATACCTTAGTCCTCAAGCTGACATCTTTTACTCTTCAACACTTTAAAAAGGTCTTGTGCAGCAGATGTGCCTAATGCAATACGTCATTTGATTTCTTGACTGCTGCGTCCATGAGTGTTGATGGTTGATCCAAGAAAAATGAAGTCTTTGACAACTTCAGTCTTTTCTCCATTGATAAAGAGTGGCAAGGATTTTTGTTTACTTTATATTGAGATACGATCTATACCAAAAAAGCTATGGTCTTTCATCTTCATCAGTAAGTACTTTAAGCCCTCTTCACTTTCATCAAGCAAGGTTGTATCATCTGCATATCACAGGTTGTTAATAGCAGAAAAACAATGTCAGATATAGTGCCGGAAAATGAGCCCCTCAGGTTGGAAGGCACTCAAAATGCGACTGGAGAAGATCTGCCTCCTCAAAGTAAGAGTTGACCGTGACAACGCGAATGGAGTAAAGGTCACAGGAATAAAGCCCTCAGAAACTTCATTTGCTGATAGGACACAACTCAAAATGAAGAGAAACAGCTGTAAACATCCATTAATTGTCAGAACATGGAATGTATGAAGTATGGATCTAGGAAAATTGGAAATTGTCAAAAATGAAATGGAACGCATAAACTTCGATATCTTAGGCATTAGTGAGCTGAAATGGACTGGTATTGGCCATTTTGAATATGACAACCACATGGTTTACTATGTCCAGAATGACAAATTGAAGAGGAATGGTGTTGCATTCATCGTCAAAAAGAACGTATCAAGATCAGTCATGAGGTACAATGCTGTCGGTGATAGGATAATATCCATGCGCCTACAGGGAAGACCAGTTAATACCACTATAATTCAGATTTACACACCAACCACTAAAGCCAGTAAGGATGAAAAGAAGAATTCTACCAACTTCTTCAATCTGAAATTGATCAAACATGCAGTCAAGATAAATTGATAATCACTGGTGATTGGAATGCAAAGGTTGGGAGCAAAGAGGAAGGATCAGTGGTTGGAAAATATGGCCTTGGTGATAGAAGTGATAAAACAATTCTAGAGATCGCATGATAGAATTTTACAAAACCAATGATTTGTTCATTTCAAACATCTTTTTTAAACAGCATAAGAGACATACACATGTACCTCACCAGATGGAATACACAGAAAGCAAAGAGACGGAAAAGCTCCATATCATCAGCCCAAACAAGGCCAGAGGTAGATTGTGGAATAAACCATTAATTGTATGATAGAAGAGGTTTCTAAAAAGATATTTTTGGACAGTTATAGTGGTGTGGCCTCGGTCCTAACAATCCTGTAAAGAAGGGCTACAAGACTACAGTGACTACAGTATTTACTTATAGGTGCCTTCTGCTTTTTAAACTGGTCTTTGGAAGTTTTAAACTGGTCTTTGGGCGTCTAGGGAAGCTTGGTACCAGGGTCACCAGGCAACAGATAAGCTAATAGTAATGTATAGGGTGCTGCCAGTGAAACCAGGCAGCGAAGAATATAGTTTGTTGCTATCAATCCTGGAATGTCTTAGTCAAATCAGTTGGACTTGGCTCGCTCCCAGCCTCTGCCAATCATGAATGAATTGCAGCAGCAGTGCCCCAGTTCCCCTGCCACTTCGTCCTCCCTCCTTCTCTCATCTCACACACACACAGCATTAAAGATGGTTTTGAACACCTGTCTCCAATTCAGAAGGACATGAGTTGGCATTAACTGCACACTCATTTTGTGCTCTGCAAAATTGCTCTCCTCGTTTTTCTTCTTGTCATTTAGTTCCTTTATCTCCAACTAAAGCCTGGATCCGGTCCTCTACTCTCACTAGAATTTCTGTTATCTGCTATTTGCCATGTTGAATTTTCTGCCTCTGAACAGTTTTATATTTATTTACTGTTTTGAATGATGCTCTTTCCCAAAGTACATCCCCTGCTGTCTTACAGCTTAATTCATCCACTCCAGATTCATATTTTTATTCCATTTGATTGCTTTTTTTTTTTTTTTAATATTCGTCAAATGCCCAAGGCTCTGTGGTAGGCACTGGATGCCAAAGAAATAAGCAAATAACTGCACCTTGGGATTAAGAGGAAAGGCTCTGATGACAGCCTGAGTTCAAATCCTGACTGTACCACTTGTAAGTTGTGAAGCCTGGGAGATGTTACATTCTAAAAGTTCCATTTCCTTTCCCGTAAGAAATGCAGACCCTTCATGGAGATATTCTGAGAATTAAAGTAAAGATTGTGTGGAAGTTCTGCCTGTGGTGCACAACTGCAGATAACAGTGATGTATGTGTATTTCTCATCTTTAACCTTGTCTTCTCATCATGTTATAGCTAAGGGGCAAGAATCATATATTCTACTCATTTTTTTCCCATTTGATCTTAGGATATACTTATCAGTATTTACTTATAGGTGCCTTCTGCTTTTTAAACTGGTCTTTGGAAAAAAGATAATACATTCTGATTTATTTCTAAAGAGTAAATATTTCATTAGGATTTTTTTTACATACAGTATAAAATTATGTGTACTTTTGACTTAATTCTAGCATAGAAAAGTCTTGTTTCAGATGGAATTTCAGTACACAAAAGAAGGGCCTGATTTTGAAGCTTGAAGTCTTAGTAGCACAGCGGATTAAGCATTGGCTGCTAACCTCAAGGTTAGTGGTTCAAACCTTCAGGGGGAAAAGGAAGCTGTCTGCTCCTATAAAGATTTATGTCTGGGAATCCCTACGGTACAGTTTTACTCTGTCCTAAGGGGTCTCTAGAAGTCAGAATCGACTCAATGGCTGGGTGGTGGTAGATTTAAAGTTTGAGAAACCTTTTACATACTATTAGTCTTTGAGAATGACCTTGCAGTTCACACCGACCTTGCTGTCCAGTGCTTATTCTGTAGCACCACACCAGGATTCCATTTGCATATATATGTGAACAGGTTTCAAAGATTGTTTCTTCTTTACCAGTTACAAAGATAAATCATTTACCACCCCTTTCTTAGATTTCATTCATAGAAAGACAAGTACATACATATTCATGTACCTGTAAAACATTTTATGTGTGAAGCACTTTATAGTTTACAGATCACTTTTTTAATAAATGTGTATTAGTTCATGTGTTTTGTAGAAGAAAACCCCCAAGATCCAGAGAGAGCACAAATTTGTAGCTCTATTTTATAAATGAGGAAATTGGGGAATCAAT